CAGTCACGATTTTTAAAAAATATAAGGGGAACTATAGGCACTTAGATAAAAAAACGTTAGAAAAGGCTTTCTTTTGAAAGGGGACCATGCTCTACAAGGCTGTCGGGACAGGGATCAGGAGACAAAACCCCACATAACCCACGTATGACTGTCGCACTTTTTACTCTGTTTTTTTTTTTTAAGAGATAGGGTCTCACTATGTTGCTCAAGCTGGTCTTGAACCCCTGGCTCAAGCAATCCTCCTGGCTCGGCCTCCCAAAGTGCTGGGATTACAGGCACCGTGCCCAGCCTGACTCCAGTTTTGAAGGCAGCGCGCCCAGAGAATCTGCAAGTCCCCTCCAGGACAGCAGCTCTGGAATGGCCCATGAGCTGGAAGACGCTGGCCCTTAACCGGCCTTTCTAAATTTAGGCCAGGATGGCCTAGTTTACCAAAATAGGTTTAAGAGTACAAAGAACAAAATCTTACAAAGACCCAGATTATTAAGAGCTTTAAACAGTCAACACTTTATTAATAATAAATCCAGTTTTAAGGAGAGGCCTACACTAGAGGAGTAAATTAAAGATCTGGCCGGGCTCAGTGGCTCACATCTGTAATCCCCAGCACTTTGGGAGGACGACGCGGGATGGAATGTAAAAAAAAAAAAAAAAAAAATCAAATTCAGCCGTTAACTGTGAGTGAGTTTTCGTTTATGTCCCTTTTTCTGCCAGTTTATTTTCTTATTTCTTGCTGATTAAACAATATTTACATGCAAACAACCCGCAAGGCGTGACTATGAAGATCCAGAGCTTTGATTTTTAGCTTAGCCCTGACCTGGCATTGTGCCTTCCACCTGCAACTCCTGGCCCCAAAACAAAGCCCAGTTATGAGGAGTTGGCGGCTGTTATTGACCTCAGATGATCCACCTGCCTCGGCCTCCCAAAGTCCTGGGATTACAGGTGTGAACCACCGTGCCCCAATGGCAAAAATGCCGTTGGTGTGAACAAGCAGCACAGAAATCGAATCAAACGCCTGGCACGGGCCAGCAGGGACACTTCCAAGGCACCATGGAGCTTTCAGACCAGAAAGGAAAACGTGTGTCGAAGCGCAAGGGTCAGAGCTGCACAATGAAGTTGGGTCGCCCCGCGTTCCACCATCTCGACGTTCAAATGGCGATAAAGCAGCGGTGTTCACTTGCATGGGTCTCACGGAAGCTTCTGGGGCAGGGGGTGGGGGGACCTCAGTGCTACACTGAAGAAAGCAGATTTCAGAGCTGGTGCAGAGCTGGGTTTGAATTCCAGCTTCCCCGCTCCCTCTTCCTGTGACTTGGGCAGACGCCTGCGTCTGTCTGAAAACTTCCTCACTGGTAAAAGGGATCCTAATGAGAGGTCACTGCAGTGCAGGGCCTGACCTTCCTAGACGGGAGTCTGGAGTCTGGGCCATCTCCACAACTGGATGGAATAACAGGCATCACAGGCGTGCAATAAACACGCGCCATCAACAGGCGACAGGTGGTTGGAAAAAAAATAAAATGAACATGTGCTGAATGTTACCTAAAGTGTCTCGGGGCCTTATCTCTTGGTAGCGAGAGATAAGCCCCAGGAAAATCCAAAACCCTAGGGGTGGGAGTGACAGGGGTGTCCCCTGGAGATTTCTGAACCACCCTGACAGAAAGCTAAGTGGGGGAGGTCCCTGCAGAGGACCCCAGAGCAGTCAGTTCAAGGGTCACAGAACTCTGGGATGAACGGACTCCAAGTGCAAAGAAATCACTACATGGGGATTCAGCCCCTTGAGCAGAAATTCCGTTTCAGAGCCCTACTGGCCAAACCCTGGGGCCCTGACACCTTCCAAGGGGTGCCCCAGGGCCGCTACCACTCTTCTCACCCTGGTCTTCAGAGGAAAGGCCGCAGGGGACCGCAAACTCCTAGAGGGACCTTAGCACCACCCAGGAGGCGGGAAGAAAGCCGACATGAGGACAGAATCAGGAGCTTCACATCGAATCCAGAACAGCGACAATCATCACATTTGAAGAGACATAAAAACAGCAATAAAATTGGTAACTTCCCAGACATTCGGAGATTTCACAGGATTACTTACGTTGTTTCCAGGGTCTGATTGATTTTTGCAATTATTCCTAACGAGGGGTCGATCTTGGCGTACATTGTTGTCATCACGCCCACCACCACGATAAGCCAACTGGAGGGGCTCGCCGGGTACACGCCAGTGATGATGCCATTCTAAAGACAGACACACGGGCCGTGAGCGGTGTCCTCCCACAACCCACAGGGCAACGGCGCTTCATGGCCCCCGGCAACAGGACTGCTGGGTTGGCAGGCAGGGAGAAGGGGGTGTCGGCAGCGTGCGTGCACTAAGAAACCATACCCCACTAGCTGGGACTCTCCCCAGAGTTTACAGCCTGCGGCGTTCCAGTTTCCTCCCTTCCACTACTTCTGAGCCAAAACCCACCCTGAAAGCTTCCCCAAGAGTGGACACCCCAGGACATGGGAATCAGCCCAGGCACTAGTTTAGCTGGTGAAGGATGTCACTGAGCCACCATGATGTCCCGTCCCCAGCCTGCTACTGTCTAGAATGCCCTGAGACCCCAGCTCCAAAACTGCCCCTCTTGCCGCCCCTATGTCAGAAGGCTGCTTAACCTTGAAGATTTCATGGGAGGCCTCACTCCATGTTGAGAATTTGCTGTAAAATACTCCAGCCAAAAAGAAAAAAAAAGGATTATATCAAACGAAATTGGCAAAATTGTTGAACAAGGAAGTGAACGGTGGGGATCTGTAATCAGTCCTCTTCACTCTTGTGTATGTTTGACAACTCCAATTAAAAAACATTCTTACTAAACACATCCTAATAAGATATTGATTTGACCAAGATAATGGATTAAAAATGACCAAAGCAGGCCAGGTGAGGCGGCTCATGCCTGTAACCCCAGCACTTTGGGAGGCTGAGGTGGGCAGATCACTTGAGGTGAGGAGTTTGAAACCAGCCTGGCCAACGTGGTAAAATACTGTCTCTACTAAAAATACAAAAACTTAGCCAGGTGTGGTGGCGGGCGCCTGTAGTCCCAGCTACTCAGGAGGCTGAAGCAGAAGAATCGCTTGAGCCCGGGAGGCAGAGGTTGTAGTGAGCCAAGGTCGCGCCATTGCACTCCAGCCTGGGCAACAGAGTGCGGCTCTGTCTCAAAAGAAAATATAAAGACATTAGCCGGGCGCGTTCTGGTGGTGTGCACCTATGATTCGCCGCTTACTTTGGGAGGATTGAGACCAGGAGGATTGCCTGAGTCCAGTGACACTATAGGGGAGGGCCGTGATCGAACGAACTGCACTCCAGCTTCTGGGGCAACCAGAGCAAGACCTTGTTCTCAAAAAAAAAAAAAAAAAAAAGAGATGTGGAGTGTTGTGTAGGGGGAAGATTACTAACTTGTCCCTCTGGGTTGTATTATATTGATTTGTGTCAATTGCTCTCTGCATCCAAGCTTCTATTTCCGCAGATTCCCAGGTTGAAATAAGACATGCTCTCGGCGTAGCGAGCTAGTGCCTCAGTGATCATCTCGGATGTCGCCTCGGTGGGTTATTGATTCTGGGCCCAAAGTAATCCCACAGGCTGAGCCCCAGGACTATCCTGTGCAGCTTGTGGCTGGCCCCCAGGGCCTCGCCCACCTCCCTTGCCGTCCCTGGCTGCCACCCACTTCTTGAGCTTATGGGCTTTTCTCAGGGCCCAACTTCTAGTGCTGCCTCTCAGAGACGTGAGCACTGGGAATGTTCCACAATACTGAGCTTTGTAGCTTCCTGCTGGGGCTGGTGGGTCGTGGGGGGCGTCTCACTTTTGTCGATTGATTGACTTTCATCTTAGTTTGCGTGTTTTCAAACCATGCACTTTATTCCTCTATGATTGTTTAAAATAAACGAATATACATGGATAAATCTAATTATCTCTGCTTTAGAAAAGTAAACAGATGTTCTATATGCTACTTCTTTAAGAATTTAAAACTATGAATTTGTAGAACATGTCGATCTTCGACTGTATTTTGTAACTTAATGTGGAGAGTTTCTTTT